CCCCCCCCCCCCCCCCCCCCCCCCCCCCCCCCCCAGACTCCTGTGCACCCTTAAAGGCCTTATCAGTTTTACCCGGACACCAACTCCCTCGGGCAGTGGCTGGGGCTTTTTCTTTCCTCCTGCAGACCTCTGCTCATACACCTGTTGTAAATGAGCTGAACAGCCTGGGTTCCAATCTCAGCTTCTGCTGCTAAGAGTTGTGCAGCTTGGAAGGTTATTGAACCTCTCTGTATCTGTTTTCTTCCCTGTAAAATGAAGCTCATAATAAACCCTACCTCATGCTACAATAAAAAATAATTGATACAAATAGCATTTGGAACAATTCTTGGCACATTCTAAGAGCTTAATACACATGATAAGTAGTGCGGATGTGCATTGGCCACCACACTGCTGGCTTCTTGGGGCAGGGACCCTGTGTGGGATGTCTGTATTCCCAGCATTTAGCACAGCGCCTGGCAGACAGTGGGTGTTCCTTTAATGTTTGCGGACTGACTGTTAGAGTGAGTTTATTTTACAAGTAGAATTAGTGCCATTGTTAGTTTTTCACATGCCTCATCCATTCATGTTTTATTTTTATTTTTCTAGTTTGGTCAGAATGTTCCTTCTCCAACCCGTGGGTAACAGATGGTTTCCTTAACTAGCTGGAGAAAGCCAGATACCAGCGTTTTTATTGATGGAGCTGATTCTAAATTGCTACTTTGTGCTCTTTAAGAACAGCCACAGTCAGGCCACTCCTGCAGCTGGAAGGCATCAGGGCTGGCCATGGTGACATGGTTCTGGTACTGGGGAGTAGAGGAGACTGACTGCAAAATCCCCAGAGACCCAGTTCCCCATAATCGCTTTAAAACCTTGCTCCAGAACTTTCTGCTGAGAATTCACCAAGGCCAGTGTCTGACCCTGAAGTGTCCTCCTCACCTACATATGACCTGTCCTTTGATGGAGCACCCCAAGTGGACACTTTCTTATTGCTGGCTTTCATTTGCCACATAGATGAGCAGGCTTGCAGCCAAAAGTCCTTACAGTTTCCCTTTGGGGACATTCTTCCATAAACCTTGTCTTTCCCTGGGGATTGGATCTCCTAGGTCTTTTATTCTTATTTTTGTTTTAAAATATGCTGGCAAAGTAGTCATTTTCAATGCAAATCCCCTAAACACTCCTTGCACAGAGAATCAAACTGTACTCTTGATGGTTGTTTCCAGCATTATCTATAGCCTTTAAAAAATTATTATTGTTTAAGAGTTTAACATTTTACTTTTTTTTTTTTTTTGGCAGCTGGCCAGTATGGGGATCCAGGCCTTTGACCTTGGTGTTACAAGGTTGCACTCTGACCAGCTGAGCTAACTGGCCAGCCCAAGAGTTTAACCTTTTGAAAGGCCTTGGCAGTAAGTGCCATCGTCTTTTCCATTCTGTAGCTGGTTCCACAACCACTTTTGCTGTTGAACTTGGACAGTCTTTTTAGATATTTCTTCTGCAGAGTAGAAAGTTCAAAAACAACATTTATTGTAAATTCTTGCATTGCATTTTATCATCTTTATGTGGAAAGTGCTGTGCAAACAAGGGTCACCCTGTGGTTTATGATATAGGCTACTTTCTCTTCCAACCATAGATTATAAAATAAAGTGACTCCTGGGCATCTGAAAGAGTTAATAATGTGTGTCCCTGCTGCCAGGCCGTCTCCTCTGAAGGTCTCTGGGAAGGTTTTATGTGTCCGGTGCTCATGACCCTGCTGGTAAACAAACACTGTTCCTCCTGATGTTTGGAGGATGAAGCAGATGGTTTCTTCTCCAAGTGTTTATTCAGTTTATGTATTTTCATTAGCAATATCTCGACAGGAAGGGCCGAGAACAGCAGAGGAAATAAAACATAGCCAGTTTTTGCTGCTTGTGAAGAGCCCTAGTTAAAACGCTTGGGAAAGGTGCTCATGGGTGATAAAAGACACCTAGTGTCTGTTGATGGGTTAGCGGGAATGGCCGGCTGCAGGCAGGGGGACGACAGCAGGAACCCAGGAGCTCTCACAGAGGCAGTAGCAGGGTGCTGTGGCAGAAAGAACAATTGGCATTGCAGGAAATAATCCTTGTAACTTTCTTGTTTGTGTCTTGTCATTGCTTTGCTCCTCAGCTTTTATAGCTCCCAGAGCCTCAGGATAAAGTATGGATTTTCTTAGTTCAAGGAGCGAGCAATGAGCCTTCCCTGAGGGGCCATGGCGCTTGAGCAGCTTCTGTAGTTATTCTGGATCATAGTCCTCGGTGTTCTGGTGTTTTATCATCTGTATTAGCATCTCGTGCCAGAAAATTCTCTTATTACTTTTTAAAAAATTTTTCTTTTTTGGGAGCCATGTGGCTGGTACAGGGATCGAACCCAGAACTTGGTGTTATCAGCACTATGCTCTAACCAGCTGAGCTAACCAGCCAGCCCTTTTCTTTTGTTTACTTGTTAGTTTTGGCCTCTCACAGGCGGAATGAGAGGTCCATGGGGTCAAGGCCTCTTTTGTCCTTGTCCATCATCATATCCTGCCCCTGAATGGTGCCTGGTACCCAGCAGCCACCCAGCACCTGCAGCTGACCTGCATGTAGCTACTATCCAGGCCCAACTCTGCTCAGCTTCCAAGCGCAGACATGATCGGGTGCATTCAGGGTGGTATGGCCACAGACCCTGTTGCACTTCTGTGTTAACAAGTGTTATGAGACTGGCTGGTGCTGTCCCCGCGTCATAGATGGAGGAATCTACGGGAAGTGCGCTTGAGTCACTTCTCAGCTTGAGCAGTTTTAAGGA